AGTCGTATACGTTTCTTACCGCTACCACGATTGGACCTCATCAGTACGACGATTGTGGTAACAAAATAATTTAGACGATTTAGTGTAGTATAGATATTTTTAACTTAAAAACAAAAATAAGAAAGAGAAGAAATAGAAGACGGAAAGTGAAGAAATGGAAAGAAGGGAAACTTATAAAGTTGTAAATTCTTACCTGCTCAGTATTGGATCCATGAATTTTTTTTCTTGCTTAGTTAAAATATCGATAAATTGAATCGCCCTGTAATAAATAACAAATTACTTATGTTTGTATTTGCACATAAGTATTAAACTGTACATAAAAGGTGAAGTGCGCAATATTTAAAGGTAAAGTGAATGATTTTAAAACGCATTTATCAGATAAGATGAAGTGAATAGTACTATGAGGTAAATTGGACAATATTATGATATTATTACTTAAATTATATCTGTGCATCAGTATGAAATAAGATAAAATGTGGTTAATAGTATTACATGAGTTTTATTGAAGGAAGAAAAAATGAAAAAGAAAAAAGAAACTAAGAAAATGATGAAAAGGGGAGAAAGAAGGTAGATAAAATTACTGCGTATGTGATGTGTATTGGCTGAGTCTGATCTCAAGTGTAGAGGAGAAAAAGAAGAGTAAATCGGGGGGAGCATGTTAAGCAAGTTGCAATGATTAGGAATATAGGAGATAAAATACAAAAATAATAATTTTATAATAAAATAGCAAAGTAATGCAACAGCTGTTTAAAGACGATGTAATATTTTTAATTTTTATTTAAAACGGGGACGAGTGTTGGTTATTGAACATTTATTAAATAGTTAGCATAAAATAATTTAAGTGGCACTGAGTTCCAATCGTAAAAGTAAATTATTAAAACTGTTTGCATTTGGATAAAAATATTTAGAAAAATGAATCTATAACGGGAAAAGAAAGATCGACATTATTAATAAAGTTTGTAATTCTCAGATCCACGATTTTTGTGCGTTTCTAATAAAGTCTTTGCATTTTTTGTAAATCCGTCTGTATTTGATGCAATTCGTGGAAATCGAAGTAATTTACTATACGAAATATTATAGTGTATATTAGTATGAGTATTACTATTTTCTGGATATGTTTGCCCATTGACTGTAAAATTAAAATTATTGACTTTGCATTGACTTTGTAAAGTTGTACTTATTTCTCACTCAGCAGTAACTTGAAATGTTATATTCAGAAAAGTCACAACGTCACCGCTACCAGCTATTTCTAATTCCAATTCATTCGTGAAGTTTTCTGTGTATATAACCCAGACCGAAACGCGCCAGGTTTGTCGACTGGTGCGGTCATGAGTTTTTGCCCTAAACTCGCAGATCGCTGATAGC